GTATGAACCCTCACCAAACCTGAAGACTCTTGTTGACTCACTTCACCCTGTGAGAAGCATAACATACAAAATCTGTTTCTGTCTGGTTTCAAACCAGAGACCTTTTGTGTGTTAAGCAAACATGATAACCACTACACTACAGAAACTCATGCTCTCTGCAGTGTTCCTGGTAGATGATCCACATTTTGTTAGAGACTAACGTCAACGATGGGCATGGAACAATGTCAAATACTTACAGATCCTCTCAGAGAGCACAGCAACTTGGTGAACAAACTGTCAGACTTATACTTGTGCCTAATTTCACATTATAGTCCATAAACTAAGCCTGGGATCAAAAAATGTATAGAAGATATCAGGAACAGAGACAAATGGTTCTACTGAGACTTGAACTCAGATCACTGGATTCAGAGTCCAGAGTGCTAACCATTACACCATAGAACCACCAAGTGGCATTTTGAGTAAAGTAGCCTCGATTTCAAAGATGACTAGATTGAAGTCGATTGGCAAATGAACCATCATGAAAGAGGAAGGCTCTTGTTGTCTCACTGCACCCCAAGAGATGCATAACCTACAAAAACCATTTCTATCTGGTTTCGAACCAGAGACCTTTTGCGTGTGAAGCAAACGTGATAACCACTACACTACAGGAACTGAACTCCTCTGCTTTGTTTCAGTTTGAGGTTCCAAAGTTGATGATGTGAGATGCAACACATGGAAATTTCAGCTGAGGCTTGCACTCAGATACCTGGATTCAGAGTACAGACCATGACACCACAGAACCCTTGCTGACCTTTAGTAAACACCTGTGACGAATAGAACATGCAAAATCTGTTTCTGTCTGGTTTCGAACCAGAAACCTTTTGTGTGTAAAGCCAACATGATAACCACTACACTACAGAAACTCATGCTCTTTGCAGTGTTCATGGTTGATGATCCAAAATTAGTTAGAGACTAATGTCAACAATGGGCATGGAACAATGTCAAATACTTATACCATAGACAGTGATGTAAGAGTGAGATGTTTCATGTCTAAAACTGATGAATCAATTGGTCCTAAAATACATTTATCACATTAGTGGAGAGCACAGAATGTCTGAAATGTTTTCCAGGAAAACCGCCCTGCTACACGGGAAGAAATTAGATTATACAGCTGATGAGAAAAACACCACCCCAGCCTCCATGTTGCTTTGTACAGAGGACTGGAAAGTAGCTGTGCTATAAATGAAACAAATGTTAAACTGAACTTTGACTTGAAAGCTACAGAAAATACTGACTTTTTCAGTGTTAATTTAAACAGGAAACAGTTTGTGTTTAAATTAGAGCTCAGAAACTAGAAGCTGCCTCCTCTTGTTTATTTCTGGTCTAGGGAAAACAGCGTAAAGCGGCATAGAAGAGCTGAAAAACCTAAAAGACGCCATTTTGTTCTACTTGAAATTGAGTTCGGTGGTGAGTAATTTTTTAGCCAAATAATTAAACTTCAAGTTAAAAGTATTCTCCTACCTTAAGCTAGCAGCCTCTCTGCGGGTCTCAAGTTCTTCAATTTGACTCGCTGCCAGAGCCGGACATGCAGGTTGAGCTCTGATTGGTTACTCCCAAAAAGGGGCGGAGCTTGTCACTCCAAAGCCGACCAATTTAGAGGAGCGAGTGATATGATTGGCTGGTTTAAATTCCAATCTCTGAGCCCCCTTATCTGCCTAGCAACAAAAAAGGAAATTTTGATTGGGTGAAAACCGTTTGATTTCAAATAAGTAAGTTTATGCTTTTTTTATTATTATTATTTTATTTAATTAATTAATTAATTTATACAGAAATAATAAAACACTAAAAACAAATCTGATGTAAAGTTGAATTTCTTTTTGAAAATTTACACAAGTCAGATACTTTTGACTTTTGAACCCGAAAGATTTCAGATTACGAAATTGTAGAAATGAGCTGCAAACACATGAATGATGCAAACTCCAAATAGACAAGTAAAAATGCAAGAGAAAAATGCTACAAGTCAGAAAAGAATGCTGCAATTACAGAAAATAGAAGCAAAATCCTACAATCAACAAAATAACTTCAAATGAAAAATGCTACTGGTGAATTTGTGTTTGTTTTTTATGTTTTGGAGTTTGAATCATTAATGTGTTTGCAGTTCATATTTCCATTTGCTAGCGTTTTGCACCTATCAACCATTATGGAAACAACCAGTGTTGGTGGAAGTCATGCAGAAGTAGATCCAAACAGCTTTATGTTTGAATATAATAGATTATATCAACTGCAAAAACACAAATCAATCAGATTTGTGTAAACATGTATAAATCCAGCAGCTCAGTTTGTTAATTTTAACAATGAAACACAGATTCTCTCTTTCAGTTAATCTTTAGCAAATAGTTACCTAAAAAAAAAAAAATCTAACTTTTCCTGCATGCCATATCTATATGGTGTTTATTTTCTCTTTGCTGTGTCTGTTGGCGTTCTGGGTGTGACTTTTGCATCTCTTGGGTCGCCTCCTTCCTGCTGCTGACATCCAACATTAAAGGAGCGGCCGGTCTCCAGATAGCAGCAGAGTGTCTCTGAGTGAGCAGAGGCTTTGCTGTAAATTATTCAGCAGTGGTGAGTTCCTCTCAGGGCAGAGGGAAGTAAAAGCAAAGCGTCCTCTTCTTCTTCTCCCCTCTGCTGACCCACTCAGAGGCATCAGCGGCTCCCAGCCTGCAGCCGGGGCCACATTCATTATTCATTAAAGGTATTCTGGGCCCTCAGCTCGCTGCTTCATCCACTCCATCAATCCCTTTACCCATTTTCAGAAGCTCTCTGCTGTCTTAGTGCTAACAAGAAGCAAATATTTTTCACTTTCTAGCTGCGTTTCTTGACATTTGGGGAAACAAATTGCACAATAAAAACGCCAATTTAGATAAAAAGTTTTGGTGCTCGGATTTGGCGTTTTTTCAGTTGCATAAAAATTGGTTCATTCCTCAAAACTGCAATGTAAACACTTCTTTTGCATCACGAGTCACATGATCAACAACTGGATGTTACTACTGATGGAAACCACAAAGAAGAAGATGACAGGAAGTGGTAACAGGATGACATGTTTCATAGTGACATATCACCTAAATTAAGTTATTTACATGTGATTTTCATTTCCTATTTAATTGAAACACCACAAATGCGAAATTTTGTTTTTCCACATTAATGGAGTACCAATAAAGTTTTGTACACATTTGTAAAGGAAAGGCAGCTAAAGTCCAAAAATCACAAATTTGTAATTGCAGTGTTTCCATTAAAAAAGAAACGCAGTTAAAATCACCTGTAAATAAGTTTTTTAAGTAATTAAAAAAAACACGCAGCGGCATCCTCCAATTACTTCCTGTCTTCTTCTTCTTCTTTGTGGTTTCCACCAGTGTGAATAAGACTGTAATGACACTTTCATAAACATGTCATAACACCTGTCATGAACATGAATAAGCCTTCATGAATATTCATGACTATTGTCATAAAGCGTCATTCGGTAAATTATGACACTTTTAATACAAAGTTGACATTATTCAAAATGTCTTTATGTCAACTTGACATTAACCAATAAATCATTACTGTTTAAACTTTACCTTTAATAACATAAAGTTACCTAATTTTTAAAGTGCAATCAGTAATACTTTAACAAATTTATATCAGTAATGATTTCTTGGTTAATGTCAAGTTGTCATAAAGACATTTTGAATAATGTCAACTTTGTATTAAAAGTGTCATTATTTACCGAATGACGCTTTATGACAACAGTTATAAATATTCATGAAGGCTTATTCATGTTCATGACAAGTGTTATGTCATGTTTATGATGGTGTCAAGACAGTCTTATTCACCCCCCTTCAAATAAAGTGTTACCCAAATTTATTTTCATATTGTCAAATTGTGCAATTATATGGTGAATGGAAACGCAACTGCTGGTGTGATTTCATTCTGAGCTTCAGGTTAGAAACCCTAATCAAACTCTGGTTTTTCTTACTTTTCGTAAAGATAAATAAGATATTTGAGGAAGTTTTGAGATATAGATTTTAAGATAAGAATGCACAGCATAATTAAGTTAAGAATTTACAGTAATGGATTATAACAGTAAATTTAAATATTGCATAAAAGTGAAAATCACATAAAATCGTCACACATATAGTGATAATATATTCCAAGTCTTTGTTTCTTGTAATTTTGATGAGTATGACAGATAATAAAACCCAAATAATCCAGTATCTCCAGAATAAAATGATTCTCCTTTACAGATCCTCACAGTAATGTCTTCATATCACCATTATATAAATAACTAAGTGTATTTTTCTGGGGTTTATCTTGCGTGACATGCTGGGAAACATGACTAAGATGACACATGTATGACCGTAATAAAAGAGGATTTGACTTCTGGGAGGATGAAATCTTCTTATTTTCGTTCTCTGTGTCCGTCCCGCCTGACCCACTGTAATCCTGCGCGCTGCACTGTAATCTGCAGACACACTGATCACCCACACATGCACACACGCACCCACAAACACACACACACACACACACACACACACACACACACACACACACGGTTCAGGATCAGCATGAATAGAAAACTAATTTAAATCACCGGGGATACAATCCACCATGAGTTTACACTTTTTCCGGGAACCGATAGGTGTCTTTTAGATTTCTAGATAATTTTTTTTTTTTTTTTACAGAAAATCATTTATTAATTTCTTCATCAAATGTGAACCTTCACCAACTTCAACCGCTTTTCTTCTGGTCACTTCAATACGTGCTTGTAGAACCACAAGTCCAGTCAAAACAACTTATTCCCCAAACCATGAATACAAGTATAAACTCTCGCTAAGTTGTAATGGTCATGTTCAAACATCCAACACTGCAAAAACACTAAATATTACCAAGTATTTTTTGTCTAATCTCTAGTGCAAATATCTTAGTGCATGTAACACAAGACAAAACTAACTTACAAGTAACTTTTCAGCATTAAGTCAATAATTCTTGAAAATGTATAAAAAGTATTAGTTTTACTGGCAGATTATTTCACTTATAACATGAGAAAAATGTCTTGTTAAAAGTGAAATAATCTGCAAATAGAACTAGAACTTTTTAAATCAATATTAAGGAGTTACTGACTTAAAACGAGCTCAATTTCTTGATTTAAAGTTAAAGTTACTTTTGTTTTATTTCAAGCGTATGACAACAATTGCACAAAACTCAACAATAATATTTGATAAGATTGTGTTTTTGCAGTGTTGTCCCAGTAATTATTGGATAAATTGTTATTTTGAAATAATTTTTCATATAATACACTATAAAAACACAAAGTCTTACCAAGTATTTTTTGTCTAATCTCTAGTGGAAATATCTTAGCACACTTAAAATAAGATAAAACTAACATACAAGTAGCTTTTTGGCACTTTTAAGTGAATAATTCTTGAAAATTGCTAACAAAAAAGACAGTACTAGTTCTGCTGGCAGATTATTTAATTTATAAAATGGGAAAAATATCTTTTTAGAAGTGAAGTAATCTAGCAGTGGGACTAGTACTTCTTAAAATGTATATTAAGGAATTACTTACTTAAAAAAGCTCCTAAATTTTGCTGAAAAGTTAATTCATGTTCTAAAAACAAAGGAAAAACTGGGGGCTCGTCCGGGATCACCCTGCAACTCATAATCACATGAAACCAGAGGGGAACTTGTAAATACACATTCTTGTTTATTACCATTTAATATTTTCATAAGACTATAGATTGTTAGACATTTTTTTGACACAGACGTTCCATTTAAAACATTCATATTTTGTTTTCACAATCCGTTTTTCTTGTCAAAAGAAAAAAAAGTCCATATCCAACAGTAACAAAGACAGCCTAGAAGGTACAATAATTTACTTAAAAACTGGTATTTCATGTGACAACAAAATCAGCTCGAGATTCCCTTTGCGATGAGTTTTTCATCACGGCCGAGCCGAGTGACCACAAAAGACTAGAGCTCGGATGTACATGCACTAAAGTGCTAGTGTTCAAAAGGCATGCAAACTGGTTTTAAACTGGTTTTATTCTGCCTTCCAAATATGCATAAGTTTCTTCAGGTTCATCAAGTCAACAGAGACAAACATTCATCTTAACGCAAAAATAAATAAGGACAGTAGCATCAGAAATGACATCATGGGTTTCCCCTGCAGGCCGGAAGAATATAGCAAAATTTGTTTTGTTTTTGTTTCTGTTTCTTGCGTTGAAAGAGAAAAGTGAACTCGAGAGGCAGGCAAAGTAAAAAAATCACGTTCAGATACATGAATAATGTAAAAAAAAAAAAAAACTGGTAACAGAAAAGAACAGCGCAATGTTCAGCTAGCCAGCAGTTTTCACCTGAAAAAAGGTAAAAACTGCAGCAAATACATTTAAATATGAGGGGTAACTTAAACATACAGGCGCGTATCAATTAATTAGAATATCATGAAAAAGTTAATTTGTTTCACTGATTCAGCTCAAAAAGTTAAACTTACACAGATTTACTAAAACAGAGAATACTTCAAGCATTTATTTATATAAATGTTTATCATTATGGCTTTTAGCTAACAAAGAACCAAACTTTATTTTTTTAGAAATTAAGAGAATTACATAAAATCAATGACAAACAGGATGAACAAAGAAAAGGTCATTGCTAAAGAAGCTTACTGTTCACAGCAATGTCCTCTAAATTAAAGTTGAGTGGAAGGAAAAACTGAATTCTAGAATTTGGCTGCTAATGGAGGCAAGACATTGAAATAGTTTTGTCAATTCTGCATTCTGTAAACTTTTCTTTATGCTTTTTTTAATATACTTAGACTTACTTTAATGTCTTTTCACAAAGACACGATAATGAATTTGTCAACGAAATGTTGTTTGGCTACAAGAGTACACAGAAAAACTACTGAAAAACTACAAGCGTGACTGTAAATACATACAGGAACACAAAAGAGTTACTGGTGGAAGTTAAAAAAAAAAGATGTTTGGAGAATTATTTCCTTTCGTTTCTGATGGAGTTCAGCTGGAGTGACTTTTGGTTATATGTAACCTTGGCAACACGTTTTGTTTTTAAAACAAGGAGCAGCTAATTAGCATCTCACTAACTCAAATAACAGAAGGAGGAATTTAATCCATATCCTCCATCGATTATTAAGAGAAAGGATCACATCCCCTACTCCATCTTCTCTCTGCGAGACTTTATAGCCACAGAAATAAAAAAAAAAGGAGCAGCAAAAGCAAAGGAGATGGATCAGCAGCAACTGACGATGTCATCCAGGACATGTTGCTCTGGAATATCGGATATTGAGCTGTTAGCATGTCGTGACACTTTCATACAGCAACAGTCTTCAGTCAGGGGTTTCATTAGATGTGTTGTTACACTGACTGCTATTGGATATCGGCACCAATATTGGTATCGACCGATATTATTTATTTTTAAATAAAACTGAGCTGATATGAACAACCTATATTTATTTTTTTTCCAAATGTGTCCAAACGGAAGTGAAATATATATAATATTGGTAAATATCGGTTATGGCAGCAATATCAATATCAAATATAAATATCGGCCATTAATATTGATGCATCCATATTAAAAATCCTTTTTATGTGACTTTCAAATTTGCCAAAAAAACTGAATTAAGGATTTTTATTATCTGTAAGCCACAACTTGAGTTTAGAGGGAAATTCACATTTCAGTACAAGCAAACACATTAAATATTTCACTCTGTGTAAAAATCGATTATTCTGAACTGAATTACTGCAGGAATTAAATTTTTTCTGTGATATTCTGATTCATTAAGACGCACCTGGACAGGCACCTCTGATGGAAATGGATTTACTGAACGTCATGATATTACAGTACATTCCAGATTCTTCCAAAAAGTCCTGGTTCCTTTAGTGATCCGCTGGTGCTACGTATTAGATCCCCACCCCCGGCTCAGGCGCCACGTCTCTATGGGTCTCTCGTCGTGGGGGGACGATTCTGAGGTACTGGGTCGGTTTAAATGAAAGAAGAGGGGGGAGGGATAAGTCACGCCGGTTCCTCTCCCTCCAGGATGGGCTTCCTGTGTCCCATCGGCGGGAAGGTGAACCTCCTCTTCGTCCCCTCGCTCCACCTGGGTGAAGAGGAGGGGGAGCGCGCGGCCCAGCGTGACGGGGGTCGGCGGTTTGCCGGGCGGGCTGGCCGCAGGAAGCAGGAGTCCAAAGGCGGCGCCACCGGCGACCGAGGCAGGTCCTGCCAATGACAAGCAGCTGTCAGGAGGAGAAGAAGAAGAAGAGCAACACGACGTCTGCAGCTGAGCGACGAAGAGGAAGGTGAACACCAGAGCTGGTCGTAACTACTTACATCTACTTGAGTAATTTCTTTGAAAAAATTTACTTTTATTACGCTGAGCTTCTGTCTTTTACTTGAGTAATTTTATTATGAAGTATTTTTACTCGTATTTGAGTAAATTTTCTGGATTTTCTACCCACTGAATGAAAAACAAACATGTTTTAACCAAAAATTCACCAGACACAGACCTGCAGTTTTTATTAAAGTTTCATAAGTTTTTTTATTGAAAGAAACTGATTTGGAAACATTTTATTTTGCCCGATTGTGTTATTTTTTGTTACTATAAGAATGATTGTCATTTACGTCCTTAAAATATCAAAATTTCCACTTAACTTTATATTTTGGTTCGTCTGAGTGTGCGATATTTAATTATTAAATGATTTAAAATTTGATCAGTTACTCGGTACTTAAAGTTTTTTAAGTGTTTTAGTGAAAGAAACTGATTTGGAAACATTTATTTCACCTGATTTTGTTATTTTTGTTACCCATATCAATTATTGTCACTTTTGTGTTTAAAATACCAAAATTTCCATTCAACTTCATATTTTGGTCCATCTCATATTGTCATTTTTAAATATTAAAAGATTGATAATTTGATCAGTGAAAATATGCTGAAGTAGCAAAACTCTTACTTCAGTACAAATTTTGGGGGCCTTCTGCAAACTACCAACATAATAAAAGACTATGTAAAAATGTTTGCTGTATTTAACCAAATAAATTAATTTAAAGCAGATTTGAGCTTTTGAGTAAAAATCACTGGATAGCTGTGTAAAAAGTGAACATCCTGGTTATTTAAAGACAAATAATTGGTGATTTTGCCATAATTTTCTATTGTAAGATGATTTTACTTTGTAGAAAACCTCGATCTACGTCACTGTACCCACCTCTGGTGAACAGAAACTGAGGAACACAGATGAAAAATTTAGCACATCTGGATGTTTTAATGACGACTTCGAGCGTCACGGTGAGGAAAATGTAAGTAGTCGAGTTCAGTTAATGTAGAAGATGTTTAATGTAGCAGGAGGAGGATTAAAAATGTTCAGTCGAACGTAAAGGTTGGAAGAGTTTGATGATTCTATTCCCTCCAAATGTCAGCAGAGAGAAACAGAGAAAAAGCACTTCCTCGGCTTAAAATAGGCAAAGAGGACGAGGAGAAAAATCTGAAAACGATTTCAGTTTCACTGCTTCAGAAACTTCAAGGGGAAGAATTGTGTGTTTTCAGGCTCATAATATTGTTTTACAGCAAAATCAGGTAACTATTTTACCTTCAGTTGTGATAAAAATGTTGTATATATCAAATGTGACTGGAATTTAGCGCCTCTGTCTCTTTAAGAAACTCCGCCTAGGTCCTCCCAGGTGTTTCGCTTAACAGTTGCCATGGAGATTAAAGGATTTTTCAAACATGCATGAAAGAATCAACACAAAGCTCCAGGTACGTTTTTGATGAGGGAATAAAATTATAACATAACGTAAAGCTCAAAAAAGTTAATTTTACACAACACTGGCCCTTTAATTAAGCTCTCAGGCGTTAGGGGTTTTTGTCTTCTAAAATATTTCGGATCAACAAACTGTTTTCCAAATTCACTTGAACTAACCAAATGTATTTCTCACAGAAGGATTTCACTTGTTAAGCGACACGATCGACACAAAAACAAGTGACAGAAAATGTGATTCAAGCTGATGCAGAAATCCAGATGTTTGACGGCGGCTTGCAGGACTTTGCAAAGTTTTTATCGCAAATACATCAGATCACAAATTCAACATTTCAGCTTTTTGGAAAAAACAGCCCAACAGACATTAGAACATTAATGACGGAAAAACACAAATCTTGAATTTCTGAATGCACACTAGCGCCTTCATTTCTTTCCATTTAATTAAATGTAAAGAAAAACTAAACACAAATCTCCTTTTAGA